TCAGTTCCTTCATAATGTAAATAGAAACAAAAAAACACAAGTAAGTAATAAAATAATTTTATTTCTGCTCTTCATGCTTTTACCAAAAATATACTTTAAGCAAATAAACCTTTGGCTATTTCTGCACGGTCTTGACCACTAGGAAAAACTGCAGCTGTTAGTGGCTGTTCTTGGTCACCCATTTGCAGTGATCCCATTATTATTAAAGTAAGTTGAAAATTTCTCTTATCCCAAGACAAAAGCTGAAATATTCTTTTTGTAAAGTATTATTGGTAGGTTAGTAGTGATTTATAAATATATAATTATTATTGATTGTTCTCAGAGGTTTCTCCATTGCTCAGCCCGTTTCTAACCTTCATTGACTGAAACCAGATGCTTATATCACCATCTCCGATGTTGCAGAATTGATCTGTTCTTACATTACACTTAGCATCGATTGGGTATGGAACATAAATTGTCTTCCTGGCACACATGCATTCCATATCTCTTTCAGTCTGTAACTGTGTAGCATATCTTTTTTTTTTCCTTTTTCTTTTTTTTTAAGTTTTTGCCATAGGGCAGGTGCACTCACCAGAGAAGAAGAGTGATTGAGAAATCACCCTCCGGGGAGACATCCACACCACAATCCCTTCTTTTCCAGTCTCCCTCTGGGATTTTGGGCAGACCCACACCATGGTCAGCCATATGGGAATCCAGTGCCTTAACCACTATGCCACCTACTGGCCCCAAGTGCAGCATATCTTTAACTCGGCTTTAATTGAAAGGAATGTACTAAAATACAATCAGTGTGCAGTCTGCTAACAGAATAGTTAAAATACACTAGAAATATATATCAGAATAATAAGGATTAAAGAAGTTAACATTAGGTCTGGCAGGTGGTGTGGTGGTTGGGGATGCTGGACTTCCACATGGCTGACTGCAATTCAAATCCCAGACCTGGTAACTTGCTTTCTCACTTTCCTTTTCTCTATCTCTCTCTCTCTCTGTCCCTCTGGTCAAATTAAAAATAAATAAATAAATAAATAAAAGTTAAATAAAGTAACTTTTTATTTAAAAAATTAACATTGAATTTTATTTGTTTGAAAGTAAGACACCTGTCATTTTGTATAACTTAACCCTCTTGAGAAATAATTACATAGGTGGAGTTTCTGACTAAATTTGATCATACAGTACAAATACGACCTGTTCTGATGTCAAAAGAGATTCTTTCTCTAACAACTGATTTAGATTTTAAGAACGTAAATCAGGATGTGATTTTTGGTTAAGTTTGTTTCCAAAAACTGGCATAGACATCAGAGAATCAGTTGGTGATAAATTACACAATGTTGTTCAATGATATTGTACAGATCATTGCAGTTAGTCCCTTCTGGTGTCATGTAACAGAGGTAGCCAAAAGCTAACATCCTGGGCCAGCAGGTAGTATGGTGGTTAAGGCCTTGAATTCCACATGACAGACTCCACCATTCAAGCCCCAGACCCCAGGACTTGAACTCCACTATTCAAGCCCCAGACCCCAGGACTTGAAAACCACACCGTGCATGTGTGCCCAAAATCCCAAAAGAAGGGACTGTGGTGTGGCCATTCCCCCAGGTGGTGCTTTCTTGCTTTCTCTCTATCTCTGTCTCTCTTTGGCGAGCACATATGCTCTGTGGCAAAAATCTAAAAAATAAAATGTAAAAATAGTAACATCCAGGTGAAACATACTTGATGGTTAGTTACTCAGACCAGGCGTTAGTTGTAGAGATAGTCAGAAGTGGTCAGATTCAGGCTTTTTATATATAAAATTAGGTCAGTGCAAAAATAATCATGATTTTGGACAGTGAATTTTTAATAATTTTAGCTAGTCCCAAACACAGCTTTATTCGTCAAAATAAGAACCATTATAATCAATACATTTATTTACCACCAATGAGAAATAAGTTTGTTCATTCCTATAGCTTAAAAATCCATACTTTGGGAGACCAGCAGATGGCGTAATGGCTCTGTTGCTGGACTCCTGTATAGTCGACCACAGTTCAAGTCCTGGGCCCGGTGACTTAAACTCATGCCAGGCATGTGTATGTGTGCCCAAAATCCTGAGAGGAGAATGGAGAAGGGATTGCGGCTTGGCCATCACCCCCGGGGGGGGGTTTTTCCCTTTCTGTCTCTCTGTCTTTCTGGCGAGTGCACACGCCCTATAGCAAAAACCTCTCCCCCCAAAAAAATCTGTGCTTCGGGTTTTGACGAACTCTTGGAAGGCATCTTCTGCATCTTACTGGTGGTGGAAATGTTTTTGCAAAAAGTTGTTGAGACACTTGGCAAGAAGTTGGGAATATGGTGGATGAGGCAAAATTTCGTCCCCAGTTTGTTCAAATTTTAAAGCATTGATTGTGTGACATTCAGTTGGGTGTTGTGGAGAAAAATCAGGCCCTTTCTGATGACTAATGCTGGTTGCAGGCATTGCAGTTTTTGGTGTATCTCATTGATTTGCTGACCATACTTAGACGTAATAATTTTGGTGGGATTCAGAAAGCTGTAGTGGATCAGACCCCACCAAACAGTGACTATGACTTTTTGGTGCAAGTTTGGCTTTGAGAAGTGCTTTGGAGCTGCTGCTTGGTCCAACCACCAAGCTGGTCATTGCCGGTTGTCATAAAATCCACTGTTCATCGCACATTACAATCCGATCAAGAGCTTGTTTGTTGTTATTGCATAGATGAAGAGAAGACGATGCTTCAAAATGGCTGTTTTTAAGAATTTTTGGTCATCTCATGCAGCACCCTCTTACTGAGCTTTTTCAGTTTTCCAGTTTGCTTCAAATGCCAAACAGCCATAGAATCATCTTCAAGGCTCTCGATTCATTTGTAAAACTTCTTGAACCACAGCTGCACTGTATGTTCAATAGCAATTTCTGGGCCAACATGTTTTTGATGTTGTGAGTTATCTCTGCTGCTTTATGACCCATTTTGAACTAAAATAAGGAAATCATTTGGGGGCAGTGGGTGGCGTAGTGATTAAGGCGCTAGACACTTTCACATGGTGAACTACGGTTGGAGGTTCTGGGTCCTTGACCTTGTGTCTTACCTTCTCACTTTCCCTCCCTCCCTCCCTCTCTGATCAAATTAAAATAATGAATAAATAAAATTAAATAAATAATTCTTTTTAAATAAATCACTCAAATTTGCTTTTTGTCTAACATTATCTCCATAGTCTAAAATACATATAAAATAAAACAGCAAGTAATAAATTATTAGCAAAAAACATAAAGCAAGAAATGCACATTAAATGGTGTATAACATAACTGTATTTATTTAAGAATATATCCAGGGGCTGGCATATGGCATGGTAGTTAAGGTGCTGGACTCCCACATGGAAAATCGTAGTTCAAGTCCCAGACCTGGCAGCTTGCTTTCTCACTTTCCCTTTCTCTCTGTCTCTCTTTGGTCAAATTTTTAAAAAATAATAATATGGGCCGGCAGGTGGCATGGTGATTAAGGGCACTGGACTCTCACATGGCTGACCACGGTTCGAATCCCAGACCTGGATGCTTGCTTTCTCACTTTCTCTCCGTCCCTCCGTCTCTCTATCTATCTCTCTGTTTTCTCACCCCCCCGTCAAAGAAAAAATACATAAAGTTAAGTAAAATAATCCTTTAAAAAAAAGAGAGAGAAAAATGGTGACAAATTAAATAAATAATTTTTTAAGCCTCAGTTATTAGAGATGGAATTTATTATTACATTTTCAGTCATTTAATTAGCAGACCATATATTTTTCTGTGACCTAGTTTTTTTTAATCTATAAAATGGGGTTAAATAATAGCACCCATTGGGACCAGCAGTTGGCGTAATGGCTATGTCACTAGACTCTAATATAGTCGACCGCGGTTCCAGTCCCAAACCTGGTGGCTTAAACTCACATCGGGCACATGTGCGTGTGTGTGTCCACCCAAGATCCAGAAAGGAGAATGAAGGAGAAGGGATTGAGTTGTGGCCATCCCCCCTGGGGTGTGATTTCTCGCTTTCTGTCTGTCTCTCTCTTTCTGGTGAGCACATGCGCCCTATAGCAAAAACCTCTCAAAAAATTAAAAAAAAAAAAAAAAAGTACCTATGTCATAGGCTTTTGGGAAGAATAGTTTATTCAAGGAAAGTACTCAATACCATGCATAGGTTTTAGTTGGTGCTCTATAAATGTTAGCTATTGAGTTGTTAAAAAAGTTTTAGAAAAATGCATCATGACTTTTCCAGCAACCTAGTATTACTAAGAGGAAAAGTTTGTTTCTTGAGACAGTTAGCTGATAGGTTAAAGATAAATCCTCTAGTTCCAAAACTGAACAGATTTGTTGTGTTGTTTTGTTTTGTTTTGTTTTTGAGAGAGATTTATATTATAGGGCATGTGCACTAACTGGAGAGAGAGAGAAAGCAAGAAATCACCCCTCAGGGGGGATGGCCATGCAGCAGTCCCTTTTCCTCCAGTCTCCTCTTGAGGATTTTCGGCACACATGTACACGACCCTGCATGAGTTTTAAGCTGCTGGGTTCGAGACTCGAACCACAGTCAACCATGTGGGAGTCCAGCCATGTAACCATTACACCATCTACTGGCATCTAGATTTGTTGTTTTACACATAATCCATGTTCATGATGATGCTCTTTAGAAAATTATTTTTATTCTTGATTTTTTAAGAATTATTTAATTTTATTTATTCATTTATTTTAATTTGACCAGAGAGAGAGAGACAGAGGGAAAGTAAGAAAGCAAGCTACCAGGTCTGGGACTCAAACTATGGTCAGCCACGTGGGAGTGTCCAGTGCCTTAACCACCATGCCACCTGCTGGCCTCCCATTCTTGATTTTTAAGAAGAAAAATATGCCATCTATAATTTTAATTGTTCTATGTGAAAATACTGGTTGTAAATTGTTTAGTGTGAATTTTTCTTGTGTGGTGTATGTCTTGTATTTTATGTATAGCATTTTAATATTCAAGATACCTTTTGACCTCCCAATTATGATTTTGTCATTGCAGGCAAGAAGACAACAAGACCCTAGTCCCGGTTCCAATTTAGGTGGTGGTGATGACCTCAAACTTCGTTAATTAGCACAGCAGATGTGTCGCCCATCTTTACATACACATTGCTTCTAATTGGCAGAAATAATCAATTAAAAGACCAGAAACTGTGATAACTGGAGGTACTACGGTCTATTTCTCAAACCTAAGCAGTAACAGACATCACAAACTGCCACAGTTTTGCACTATGATTATAATACCTGCATTTCTAATTTTTTAAGCATGTAAGCCAGTAATAATTTGAATTTTTTTTCTATGCAAGCTTACCTTGTTGGCATTATTTTACTAAGTTGAAACGATCCAATTGTGAAGCTCTTTTTTCCTCCATTATAATTTAAAAGTTCATGTCATTTTAAACACATCAAGAAATTAAAATTTATAACGGAATTTTCTTCTCTTATCATTTTTGTACTTTTAGATATGTTGGTTATACAGCTTTGTTTTAAATAGGTATTATTGCTTTTGTTTTCTCTATTTCCTTTTGTGTTTTTATCATCTACAGCATTTTAAAACTGCTGATGTTTTTGCATTATTGACAAGCTAAAAACCTAGTAGCATAGAGCTGTCTACCACAGCCTTCTAACACAAAGTTTACAGTTGTTAAAGTTGCGGTATCCTTTTAAATGCTAGTAATCACTCCCTTATTTTCCTTTTTAAACATAAACATTTTTAATTAGTATTATTTCTGTAATCTGCCCAGATCTGTTTTAGAGTATGTTCCATAATCAGTTTAGGTGGAGATATTCTCCAAAGACGATAATATTCTACTGAAATGCCTAAAGAAGTCACAAGCTGGCTTCTGTTTTATTCAGGGATTTTTTTAAAAAGTCAATCAGAAAAGGGATACTGGAGCTTCTTCATGTATGTAACAGCATATTAAACTGGAGACAGTGATGAATCAGCTACAAAGGTAATACTGTATTAAAATCATGTTTAAGATAGCTGCTTTTACGTGTCTTTTATATCGCATGCTTTTGTAAAAATAATGCTGGATAACGAAAGATTAGTCTTAGAGAGAAAATGTTCATCTGTGCAGAGGATACATTTTCTTCCATTAATTATTCTGGAAAAAACATTCACAGTTATATATGGTATCTTGCAAAAGGAGTATTAATAGAACCTTTTGAGATGAATTAGTGTAGGAATATTTTTTAAATAGGTTCACTGTCAAATTGAGTGTAACTTTTTGTTTTTAAATACAAGACTGGAAAAAGTGCTAAGTCATTTGGCACCTCCTTACAAATATTTTTCATGGTCACATTCATTAAATGTTACTACATTTCTGAATTTTTGCAAAAAATGTATTTTATCATAATAGAATGGCATTATTTTAGAAAGTTTGAAAAACTGACAGTCAATTCTGAAAATGAACTGAAGTCTGAATAAGGTCATTGCATTCAAAAAGTATCTAAGTATACTTGATTGATGAGGGATATGTGACTTTCATTGTACATAAGTCTTATAATTCATAAACAGATATCCTGTATCTGAGAATAAAAATATTTGTTATATATTTAAATCATGCATGGTAAGGAGTGTTTAAATCATTTTAAACAGTAATGCGTCATGACACCATGCTGATCTTGTGTAACTGAGTACTATGAATGAATTTGGTTGATATTTGGTATTGTGCAGCTCACATGTTTACACACTTGGTGCCCTAATTTCCCCTGAGGGAATGGCCTTTTAAGTGATCCTTACAGTGGTGTTTTAAGGTTACTTTATCACAGAGCTTCTTGGTGTTTGACTTCTGCACTTAACATTTTTTTTAAGAACATGATAATGGAACATTTTTCTCTGTTGCTTCTGGCTAAGGGCTTTTAGTCCACCAGTATATAAGATAAAATGTTATTAAATGTTTCTGTTACCATCTTTCTGTAAATACTGAATATTTCCTGTCATTTAGCACTGTGCTGCTTCTGTCTGTCTTAATGCTGGCATTAAGATCATGAGTCCTTTTTCTCCAGTAATGCAGGCTTTGAAAACTACTTTTATTAAGTTATTGATGCAGTTTGATCATTTTTCTTAATCTATATTTAAACAGAATTACATCATTGCATCATCTTTTCTAAATTCATCTCCATTAAAACTTTGCCTTAAGCTACCAGGTTGCTTATGCCACCATTAGCCATACTGTGTGTTTGTATGTTTAATTTACTTTCGCAATAAACTTCTGTGTAGTGAAAACAAGGTCTTGGTTCTTTATTTACACAATCCAACAATTTCTATTCTAGTATTAGGAATGAATTAAAAATTGACTGTTGTTTCTGAACTGTTCTTTGATCCTACTTTAAAACCTTACGTAAAAAAATAAAGCAACAACAGTGGCATCTAGTGGTCATTGCTACTAATTCCAAAGGAGACCTTTAAATGTAACATAACACAAGATATACTAATTTTTCAGTGTATTTTGGTTTTTAAAAAATCTGACTTGATTTTACCGTTCTATGAGGTGTGACCATAAACAGTGATCCTGTGGGGAGGAAAGAATTTTACAAATTAAACATCTGAGTTCGTAGCATTTTTCAAGCTAGTTGTTTTGGGAATATGCACTTGTAGTATTTTTTATTCTGTTGGTATTATACCAGACGTTCTTAGGACTTATGGCATGTTCCTACCTAGAAAATTAAGCCTTTTACTTGAGAATGTATGCCTTCAGTTTGATTACTAATGAACAGATTTACTTTCTCATCACCAGACTTCTTATCTTTAAATGATTTGGCAAGTTTTTGTTCTCAACTTGCTATAAGATGCATGTGTTGGGGCCAGCAGGTGGGGTGGTGGTTAGAGGCACTGTGGACTCCCACATGGCCAACTGCATTCAAACCCTGGATCTAGGGGCCACCAGGTAGCATGGTGGTTAAGGGCACTGGACTCCTACATGGCCAACCATGGTTCAAGTCCCAGACCTGGTGGCTTGCTCTCTCTCTCCCTCTCTCTCTCACTCTGTTCCTTGCTGGTCAAATTAAAGTAAATAAATATATGGATAAAGTTAAATAAACTAATTTTTAAAAAAAGAAATCCTGGATCTGGCGGCTTCACTTTCTACTTCTCTCGATGTCTTTCTCCCTTTCCCTTTTTCTCACTGTCTCTCTCTCTCTCTAGTCATATTTTAAAAGATGATAATAATAAACTAAATAATTCTAAAAAAAAAAAAAAGATAGGCTCAGTGGAGAAAGAGAGGCAGAAAGAAAGTGAGAAAGCACTTCTCATGCCACAATCTCTTCTCCATTCTCCTCTTGGGGTCCTGGGCATGCACACACACAAACCCAGTGTATTTTCAAGCTGCTGGATATGGGACTCTTAAATGTACTGTAGGCCACATGGGATCCAGCCACTTTAACCATCATACCACCTGGCTGGCCCTACTGTGGTTAAATGGTAACTATCTTACTTGATTTATGCCTCATTTGGCAAAGGGGAATTTTTTCGGCTATAAGTCATTGCTATATAGCACATTACTCCAAAACCTAGCAGTTTAGAACAGACATTTATTGTCTAAGTTTCTTTGAGTCACAAATCTGAAAGTAACCAAGCTCAGTAGTTATGGTTCAGGGTCTCTTGTGAGGTTAAAGTCAGCCTGGGCTATAGCCCCCTCAAGGATTGACTATAGATGAAGGATCCTCTTCCAAACTCACTAACGTAGTCATTGACCAGTCTCAGTTCTTGCAGCTTGTTAGTCAATGGCCTTGATTCATCACTATGTATGAGACAAAGACCTTCGGTTCCTTGCCACTTGGATCTCCCTTAGGGCATCTCACAGTGTGGCAGTTGGCTTCCTCCACAGTGATCCAAGAGGGTTCACACCCAAGATGAAAGCTGCAGTCCTTTTAATAACCTAACCTTGAGCTCCCATACTGTACATTAGAATTGAATCACTGAGTCAGGCCTATACTGAGTGTTTTTGAAGGAAGGGATGTCAAAGAATATATGGACTTTTTTAAAACCATCATAGTCATATTACTTTATATATAAAAATAGTATTTTAAAGTCAACTTGTGGGCCAGCAGGTGGCAAGGCGGTTGAGGTGCTGGACTCCCACATGACTGACTGGTTCAAATCTTGGACCTGGTAGCTTGCTTTCTCACTTTCCCTTTCTCTCTCTCTCTGTTTCCCTCTCTCCCTCTCTCTCTGGTTAGCTCTTGTGCCTTACAGTAAGTTCAAAAATAAAAATAATAATAAAATAATTCTCAAAAAAAAAGTCAACTTGGTGTTCTAATCTTCTAAACATTCTTCAGACGTAAGATCTCAGTATTTTATAAGCAGACTTCAGTATGTAATTTCCCCTGGATAGTATCAGTTCCTTTTTTTTTTTTTTTAAATAGCCAGAAGGCTCATGCACCTACCAGAGGGAGAGGGAGAAAGGACTCCTCAGTGGGGCGTGGTCACACAGCAATTGCTTCCCCACTTCCCTATCCTAATGGGGACTTGGGACTTGCACACACGTGTCTGTTGTGGTTTTCAAGCTGCCAGAGCCAGGATTCCAACTATGGTCAGCCATGTGGGATCTGGCTCCCATAACTGCTAGGCTATGGAGTTGGCCCTCAGTTCTGTTCTTTTTTTTTTTTTTTTTTGTATCACCATTAAGAAATATATTGTTGGAACCAGCAGTTGGTGTAATGGCTATGTCACTGGACTCCCATGTAGTCGACCGCGGTTCAAGTCCTGGACTCAGGGGCTTAAACTCACGCCGGGCACATGTGCATGCATGCCCAAGATATATATATATATTTCCAGGGGTCCAGCCATGATGGCATGCAAGTAGTATCAGCCTCATGAGAGGCCCAGATTAATTTCTCAGATACCAGAATACACAGAGTGCAGTTTAGTTCATTTAAATATAGAATACTCTAAAGAAGATAATCTGTATTAGCTCAACTTTTAGAACAAATTAAGCAACTTAAGAGTTAAGGTCATTATTGGTTTTATTCAGGTTACAGAAACTGAATAGACATGAGTAGATTAAAAACAAGATATGAAGGAACAGTTTTTATTAGAGAAAAAACAGTGTCCTCACACTGCCCATTATGGTGGTGTGGCTGTTAAGAACATTAAAAGTGGCTAAAACAACTGAGGAGCTTATTTTTTTTTTTAATCATTTAACTTAAAAACTCAGACAGTGGGACCAGCAGATGGTGTAATGGCTATGTCGCTGGACTCCCACATAGTCGACAAAATTCAAGTCCCAGACCCATTGGCTTAAGACTCAAGCCAGGTCAGGTGCATGTGGGTGTGTGGCCAAGATCCAGAGAGCAGAAGGGATTGTGGTGTAGCCATCCCCCCAGGAAGCGATTTTTCACTTTCTGTCTCTCTCTCTCCAGCAAGTGCACACGCCTTATAGCAAAAGTCTCTTAAAAAAAAAACAAAAACATCAAGACATAGTGGAACCAGCAGATGATGTAATGGTTATATCACTGGACTGCCATGTGGCCAACTTGGTTCAAGTCCCAAACCCAGTGGCAGTCTGGCCATTCCCCCCCTCAAGGGAGGGATGCTTTCTATTTGTTTGCTTTCTGTCTCTGTCTCTGTCTCTCTGGTGAGCACACGTGCCCTGTAGCAAAAATCTCTCTCAAAAAAAAAAAAAAAAAAAAAGACTAAGGCAGTATTAAATATTTTAACTGTTTTGGAAGGACTGCATTTTATTTTAGCCTTTAAAATTTAGTGTTAGTGTAAAACACCAAATTTTGATTACAGGAGCCAGCAGGTGGCATGGTGGTTAAAGATACTGGATTCCCATATGGCCAACTTCAGTTTGAGTCCCAGATCTGGTGACTTGGTCTCTATTTAATTTTTTTTTGGGGGCGTTTTTCTTAGAGGGCACGTGCGCTCACCAGAAAGAGAGACAGAAAGCGAGAAATCACCCCCCAGAGGGGATGGTCATGCCACAATCCCTTCTCCATTCTCCTCTCAGGATCTTGGGCACACACGCACCCACACACAGTGTGAGTTTAAGCCACTGGGTACGGGACTCGAACCGCAGTCGACTCCATGGGAGTCCAACAACATAGCCATTACACCAACTGCTGATCCCCTAGTGGCTTGCCCTCTTGCATTCTC